TTCGGTGGCTCAGAAGGGCGATCCGCCCCGCTGCCGCCGCCGCCGGATGGCGAGGTTGCGGGATTGCCTGCCCCGCCTGATGGTTATGATCCGGTCCCTGCTCTTCTGGTCCCTGGTCTACTGCTATTGCGGGCTTTGCGCCTCCATCTACCTGCTCAAACTTTTGTGGAGCATCGGCCAGAGACCTGCGCAGACCTTCCGGCGGGCGGCCCGGGAACACCCTCCCGCGTGCTTGAACGACCCCTCTTTGGGTACCCACTGCTACGTGCGGATCAAGGTGAAGGCCGGCGCGGGCTCGGTCGTAACGGGAGGGAACGTGACCGCCGTGCGAGCAGAGCGCGCGGGGCTGCTCCTTCCATGACGCTCGGCCCAGCGTCCCCTAGTGTCCCTGGGCCCTCAGGGAGCGCGGCGGGGAAGAGGCGGATGCCAACGGGAGGCAAGAGGGGCGAGTTGTGGCGGGAAAGGGGTCGGGACTGTGTGTGTCTTTACGTTCCCGGTTTGTCGTGTGTGTGTGTGTGTGTGTGTGTGTGAGAGAGAGAGAGAGAGAGAGAGAGAGAGAGAGAGAGAGATATATACACATGGAGTTCCACAATGTTAGCGTGGAATCAGTCAGCCCTGTCTCCTAACTCCACAAATGCTAAAACGATTTCAGAAGTTAAACAGCGTTGTGAAATTTCTGTAATCGGAGTCCTATTATATTAGTGTCCCCTCCTGCTGCATCACAACCCAGAATAATTCTGCTCCATTGCCTCCTATAAGAGGAAGCTGTCTCCTTTCACCCTTTTGCCCTTTAGAGCTTAGATCGGCTGTCGGGGAAGTGTTCCTGGTGCTCCCCTATTGTTTCAGGACGCTTTCCTTGCCCAAATTTTAGAGATTGAAAGAGTAACTAGAATAAGTCATTGGAGATCAGGAGTTTATTCAGATCAGCAGAATGGAGCATTTACAGATGACCTAAGCAGCATGAAACCATAAATAAATGGTGTATGTTCGTGGAGAAGGAAGCGGACTTATGAAGTCAGAGACCAAAGGAATGGAATAAAAAGTAAATGTCAACAATACATGCAGATTCTTTCATTGTCCATGCTTGTCCCAAGCCTCCTCACAGCCCATGGATATTCTATTTCTTGAGGATCCAGACAGTGAAAGGAAATAACCCTTTGTGATGCACCGTACAGTCTGACTCACAGGCCTTTCAAACTAGCCTCACATGAGGGGATATTTAAGTCATCAAGTAGGGGATCCCTATTAGGAGCTACAGTGTCCAGCAGCTGGAGTTCAGAAGACTAAGGGTCACATTTTTCTTACCTTTTTTCAGCCTGGGATTGATATGAGAATTAAATGATTTACAAATATTAATTTGTAAAAAAAAAAAAAAAATCAAAACAACAACAAAAAACTTAGTGCCTGGCACATAGTAAATGCAATAAAGTTTATTAAATCCAATCAAATGCCTACAGTATTTCATATTCTAAGACTCACCACCAGTAAAAGAAGTTCTTGAAATAGGATGGCATTCTGCAGTTGAGCACAAAGTCAGATTTATTATCTTCATCCAACCTGAGGAGAAAAAGCAGTGTAAAAATTATCTGGAATTCCTTATAATGTATTTCTTCTGACTGGTCACCTAAAAAGTTTCCCCAGAGACACAGAACCAAGGAGTGGAAAGAATATTATTACCTTGGGAGGTAGGACATGATGGGGTTCTAGTCATAACTCTGCTTCCAAATACCTTTATGAGCTGTGTTAACCTCTTTGGGCCTCAGTTTCTACGTCTGCAAAAATGACGGGCTTGGACTAGGTAACCTTTAAGACTTTTTTCACATCTGAAAACCCAATCACTTGGATAACCTGATATAAAACCCAGTCTCCGTGCTTAGCTTTTGGTTCTTGTTTTTTTCCCTCACTGAGTTTTTGGGTTTTTTCTTGGGTTTTTCTCCACTTTTCTCTCTTCAGATTGCTTTATATTTGCTGTATTCTGGTCTCATTCCTATGCTTTTTATTTTTCTTAGGCAGTATTGTTTCCCACATGCACTCAGAGCATTCTGTTGTTAGAAATACACTGACATGACACAAGGAACAGGGAGTGAAGGGAAATGTACATGCAACTGGTATATAAATACTTAAAATACTAATGTGGGAAGAAGTAGACTAAAAATAAGAAAAGGAGGTGTGATTATATAACTGATGGCACAGCTCTTGAGGAAGCTGAGAAAAGTACATGACTAGGAGGTAAACATGGCAGGAATATAAATTCAGATCAAAATTATTTACACATCCTGTAGAATTTGAATAAGATGAAATATGACACAGCAGCAAGTTGAAAGTCACAAATTGTGACATTGTTTCAGAAGCTCATAATATATAAATTGACTTTGTAAGTAAAAGAAGGGAAGGTACTATGAAGGGAATGTTGATGAAAGTACATCTGTCAGTTTACCCTATTGATAAATCATGTTTTTTTCTTTTGAAATTTAATAATATTTATTTTATTTCTTGATATTAAAAATAATGCAAGTGAGTTTTTTAATGAAATGAAAATAGTAAATGTACTACTTTGAGAATCAACATAAATCATCATTAAAATTTCATGCTCTCTATTTCCTACTGTAGGATTCGGGGTTAAGATTTCATTATGTTGCTGCTGGAGAAAGAGGCAAACCACTTATGCTGCTACTTCATGGATTTCCAGAATTCTGGTAAATTTATTAATTAACTTTTCTTTTGCATTAAGACGGCTTATCGCAGTGTCATATACATACAGGGTTTTTATTAATAAATGCATTGAGGATGCTAGTGCTGTAGGAAATATTAGGCATTGAAGAAAAGAATGGTAGATGGCAAAACTCAACTATCTCATCATTTTTCCAGAGCAAAAAAGTCTACGGATGCCTCTTCCTGAGAAGATTTTTATGTACTCTGGATTTACCTGTATAAATAAACATAAATCATCTTCATGTTAAACTTTTATTTTTCATCCATATGGAGATAACTTAATTAGGTGGAAAGCAGCCTAGTGCAATTCAAGCGTATATATGTAGACTCATTTAGTAAAGTGCTTGACATGATTGACTCCCAATAAAATGTAAGTCTGAAGCATTTGTCAGATCTGCATAAAGTAACATGGCCAGTGAATTCTAGCTCAGCCGCTTGTTGCAGAATCCTGCACAATCATCTACAATAATCTTGCAGAGCTGTGAGGATAAAGAGAGTCAAAATATGTGAAAGACCTTGCTCTTGGTCCCAATTAATACTCAGTAAATGTTCACTGTCTTCCTTCATTCCCATTCACTCACTATGGAGATTCATGTACCAACACCAACATCCTCAATGCATTTATTCATAAATCCCCTTTTATTCATATTGACTAAAATATTAACTAAAGTGTATTAAGGTAATATCTCTTTCAGAGCTAGGTGCATTTTAAATCAAGACTTTGGATGACAGAAAAACTTTAAAACCCTAAAAAAGGTTAATATGTAATGGTGGGATTCTACATGTTAAGAGCAACAGTAAGGGAGAAATTTGGGGACAGGACCTTTACAAAATAATTTCCTGATTCTGGCTGCTGCTGATGCTCCTGATGATGATAGTTAACATTTATTATGTGCCAGGTACTCTTCTAAATGTTTTGCATATATCATTGCATTTAAGCCGCATAGGTACCCTTCTGAAACTGGCAGTGTCAGATAGTAAGGTACATCTCATTCCTGAACATCAGAGCTGATCTCTGCTGTTTGTCCTCAGATGGGAATGATAATGATCTGATAACATATATGGATTTTTACACTTCAAATTTCACACTTTATAGAACATTCAAGACAGTGTTAAAAGTTAGCCAACAATATAAAAATACCTTACTCAAGCATTTTATATCCTCCTTCTAAATATAATTTATTAACTGAATGAAGGAGAGAATTGATATTTAACTTTTTAGAAAGAAAGATTTAAAGGTTATTCTCTCTACCTCATACCAACCCCAATATGTGTCTGTGTTCTTTTTCCTCCTGGGACTTCACTTCTTTACATGTGGAACGATCTACGTGAAGATAAAAATTAACCTATAACCATTTCAACCACCTGGTAATTATTTCAAGTTCTAGAAAATGGCGGTGATACCTATTTAATATAGGACAGTAGATGCTCTCTGTCACATTTGAAGAAATTATACTTTTGCACATTTTTCACAGCATTGTCCCATTATTTACTCTTATGAGAGCCCTTTTGCAAAATAGAAATGCCTAGTGATTCTTGTACATGTCCTAGAATCTTCAGTGAATGGAACAACCTTGGAAGGGCCGAGCACTGATCCTTAGATGTCAGTCCCATTTACTCCAACAAAGTGAAGTCTTAGATGTGTCCAAAAGGGATCTGGTCAGTGTGAGGAATGGTTTAGTTTTGAAAACTCCCAGAGAAAGTTTAACTCTGAAGAGCATAGATTAGGAAATATATGCAGATCATAGGAATGAGTCTCTTCTATTCAGCAATCTATCATTTGTTACTCCAGAAAGAGCCTTGCTATAATTTAAAACAGCAACAAACCCCTGATAACTTGATTACTCAAAAAGACCATATTGACTTCACTGAACTTTGTTGGCCTTTAATCTGAAAGCTACCTGATTGTTCAGAGAGATTCCAAAAGCAATTTCATGGAGATTGCTGGTAATCAAAAACCTCTGACTATGTCATACCCAAACCAAGACCTCTGTGTTGAGGCTTACTCTGTCTTCCCTTCCGATCCAATTGCCGCTATTATCCATCATGGAATCTAGTCAATTCCATTCAGGTGCTCCATTCAGAAAAAGTCAATTCAAAGCAGAGTTTAGGACAAAGTTGTTTAAAGTCACTTCAAGTCTCTCTCTTGGGCTTTCTCTTCTCTTTTTCAAAAGCCCCTTCCCTTGTATTTCTCTCTTTAAAATTCCCCCCAAAAAACTGCCTGGCATTTCAAACTGATTTCAATTTACATTATAAATTTAAATATTATTCCTCTATTAAGTTTTGCCTAAATATACATGAAATTATACACTTATTTGTAGATCAGGTAGGTCAGAATATTTGACACAATGGAAACAAAATAATCGTAAATTGGCAATGTGTGTAAAAGTGCTTTTTAAACAGAAAAACACTATACAAATGTCATGTATTATCTGCATTTATTATCATTACCTAAGAATTGCCGTTGAGAATTGGTGACATTTAATATATACTATATATATGTATATAGTATATA